TTCGATTTGTTGGAGCGTATCGTTGGAAGGAGATTCTTAAATTCCCGTGGATTTCGCGTAAGTGTCTCTGCTTACGGGTCCACCCCTCCGTTTTTGGCCCTTCATACAGCGATATAGTGAATTCAGATCGGTAGCCCAAATTGATCTTGCTATTACGTGGAGCTGCATACAAGACAAGTCTTGAAAGGATGGTGGCTACCTTACATACATACATACATTAGGATTTTTTTCAATTCAACACCGTCCAGAGTCTGTGATCTTTGGTCGATACGTTCCCTGAGGAAATTACAGTCCTGTTCAACTTGGATTCGAGACATCCCCGATGAAGGCTTCATATGTTTCCGAGCAGCAGGGTTTCCAGAGGATCCCGACGGAGACCCCGGACATTTTCAAAGAAGGTTTCGTACGTTCCCAACAGGGGTTCTAGACATTATCAACGGTGATTAAAGGATTTTTTTTTGTATAGTAGTCACTTTAACACAGTTATTATAGAAATATAAGAGTTGACTCCCCAAATCCCAGGACTCATTGATAATTCACTACTGTAAACAATGCCACTAGTCTCCCATAGTTGATTCAGCATTTTTCTTCGACGGTGTAAAGCTTCGCGTTGCAATGGGGCTACGTCTCGCTTGTTTTAATCCATTGACACATCTGGAAATCCGAGAAGCTGTAGTTGGTAAATAAGGACATAAGTGCTACGTCCCACATTTTGGAAATGAGTATCAATGAACGAAGTTATAGTCGTTTCATGAACTATTACTTGGTGCGTCAAACTACTGGAACATAAGAAAATTAGTTTGTCATTATTAGGCACACGAAGAATGGTATGTTGTCGTCATCAAAAGCTAAGTTCGTTGATATAGGTAAATTCATTGAAATAATTCAGTTTTGAGTACATATACTAATATCAGTGGCGTTTCCTCAACCTCAAGCTACCTGTGCACCAACTCTCAAAACATAAACAATTATCAAAATATTGCTAGCAACGGATAGATATCGAGTGAACTAGAAGATTATCAACCGTTTCGAGTATGAATATGACATTAAATCTGGTTTTGAAAAATGGTGCGCAGGTAAAAAATAAGGTTACAAAACATTATATTATAAACTGGGTTGGGGCCTGAGGGAATCAACGGATTTGTTGACTGGACGAGGGGTCGAGAATTTGTCAATCACTTGTAACGTTATTACACATGGCCATCTGGTCGTTTTGTCTTCCAAAGGTCTTTAATGAAGCTGATTCACCCTGCTGCAACAAATCATGAGGCAGAACTTTCAGGCAGACATTGGTATCCTTCCTCTGATGGTGGGTTATATTCACATCACATCACATCAGTAGTCACTTTAACACATTTAAGGTCACTTTTCCGGGATAAGATTTGGAAGTCGTGACGTTTAATATGATAAACGTAGCATGCTGGGCCCATAAACAGGTTCTAGAATTTCCAGAAGGGACCACTTTCCACGGAGATTCTGAAAATGCACTTATATGGAATCTAATCCAAAAATGTGCTCGGGAACGTCTAGAGGACCCGATGAGATTATTTGAAATATCTGTCGGAAACGTCTGGAATGACTGAAATTTCCATCGGTAACGTAAGAAGCATTTGTTGGAAACTGTTGAAATCTCTGTCAAGAATGTCAGGAATCACTTTGGAATTGTCTGGAGCACTCGCCTGAAACGTCTGAAATCTCCATCGGGAACTTCTGTTATCATAGTTAGGGATATCAGGAATCTCTCCGGGAGGTCATAAGTTACAGTTTAGAACGTTTAGAATCTCTATCGGGAACGTTTGAATTCTTCATTGGCTAAATCATTCATCTTCTTTGGGAACTGATGATAATATCGTCACTTTGGGATAGTCTTCTTCTTCTTCTTATTCTTCTTTTTCGCATTTCAAGCTTATTGCATATCGCATATTAGCTTATTGCGTGCTCTCAACTTAGTGTTCTAGAAGCACTTCCACAGTTATAAATTGAGAGCTTTCGATGCCTTTACCATTTTTGCATTGGTGTAATTGTGCGGCAAGTCCAATCATGCTTCTATGCCCAGGGAAGTTGAGAAATTCCCAACACGAAAAATGCCTAGATTAGACCGAGAATCGAACCCAACCACCTCCAGCATGGTCTTGCTCTGTAGCTGCGCCTTTACCGACTGAGTTAAGGGAGGCCCCAAATAGTTAGGGATAGTCGTCTGCAACGATTCAAATTTCCATCGGGGTCTGTTGCTGGTTTCGTTGGGAATATCAGAAATTACTTCTCGAAGCCTTGAGTACCCGTGGTGATCGTCTCCCATCTCTATCGGGAACGCCTAGAGTCTCCGTCGGGAACGTATGAAATCCTAGTTGCGAACGTCCGGAAGCTTTTCGGAAACGTCTGAAATCTCCCTCGGGAAATGATAGGGAATGTCTGGAATCCAAGTCTATGAAGATGTCTGCATTTATTTGGGGACTCAGCTAACCTAGTCGGAATTACCAAGTTGGAGGGTGCGAGATAGACAGTTTGGTCGAGGAAATCTTGCGGGTTAGAATCGAACGTGTAACAAATTCTTTCCTTACGGTTACAAACTCGAACGGCGGTGGACATGAGTTTTTTTTTTTACGAAAAAACACTCTAGTCGTCGATTTCAGTGTACTTCCGAAACGCCCGGAAGTTCAAAAAATCCTCGAAAATAAAGTGAAGCTTAAACTCGCGGACACGACAAACATTCAGCTACACAATTTGCGTAACTGTGTATACATCGAAACAATCGATGGTGAAACCGCCTTACGCTATGAAAGGGCAAAAAACAACAAGCACACTATTGTGTGCGATAACAAGGAATTCAAGATTCCTGTGTATGTTGAGAGTGAAGCCGTGAAAGTGCGCGTGCATGACCTTCCTTCTCACACGCAGCATTTGACCGTCATCAATTTCATGAGGCAGGATGGAGGTGTGATATCTATCACAAGGGAACGGTAGAAGTACCATTTCCCGGGAATCTACAATGGTGTACAAGTCCTTCGGATGAAGCTTTGTCACCCCATTCCATCATATGTCACCATCGATGGCGAAACAACGCTGGTGATATACAAGAATCAGCCCAAAACACGTCGTCACTGCGAAAACGCAGCCCATCCCAAACAAAAGTGTGTGAAGACTCCGAAAACAGCAGTAACACCAAAACACCACCACAAGCAGCACCCAGAATGTCAAGTGATCCAAAGTTGAATGGAGACGAGTTTCCACCATTATAATCAGCATCTTAAGAAAAGGGACCGAATATGGAACCCCCACTTATAAAAACCAACGAAGAAGCCGAAATACAACAGAACAAAAACAATAACAAAAAACAACACAACCAGTGATAACGACGATGACTGCGATGATGACTGCGACGATGACGATGGCGATGACGGTAATGACAGCTCGGATAACAACGATTTCATCGAAGCTACCAAAGTTCTAAATTGATAAGTGAGCAAGTGCACCATGGGAGCCTCATAGATTAGTCAGTAAAGGCACTGTTATAACCAAGCTGGAGGCGGCGGGTTCGATTCCCGGTCCGGTCGAGGGAATCTTTCGGGTTGGTATTTTCTCGACTGCCCTGGGCATTGAGTATGATTGTGCTTTACCACACAATATACAAATTTATGCATTGGTATAACTGTGGAAGTGCATTTAGAACACTAAGTTGAGAGCACGCAATAAGCTAATATGCGATAAGCAATAAGCTTGATATGCGAAGAAGAAGAAGAAGAAGGAGAAGAAGAAAAGAAGAAGAAGAAGTAGAAGAAAGTGCACCATAAAGTAGAGAACCGGAAAACCACTTGCAAAAAAATTTAGAAGATGAAGAAGAACATTTCAGGTTTGATAATTTTTAAGCAAATAAAAGCGATGTGCAGTTCATGTAATATAAACTGATTCATCAACACAGATAAGAGTGTAATTATCAACAAAATAAACTCAAAAATAAACTTCCATTCACAACACCCAACCGGTCCATTGTTCTCAAACTTCCAGCCATCTTTCCTCCCCCAGGCCAGGCAGACGCTGCTGCATTACTAATTCAGCAATTGTCGCGACAACTTTACACTTCTTCAGCGAGAAAAACTTTCCACAATTATCAAACTACCCATCTTCTTTTTCACCGGGGGAAACAGCAGGGAAACAAAACCAGAAAACTAATTTCCCTGATCGATTCTACTGGGACGGGCGGTAGGTAGGTTGGTTCTAGACTCTCGGTTCGTCGCCTTCCGGCTATTGTCCTGACCGTGCGACAAAAGAGCCAGACTTCTATCTTTTCCCCACAAAAGATCCGCAAATCCAAGACCTCCAATCCGAAAATGGCTTGTTTTATTGTTTTCTGTTCTTTTTTTCTTCAGTGGAGCTCCTCGTGGTCCTTTTCCTAGGCTGAGTGGGAGCGAAACGAAACGAAATTACAGGCGATTTCACTTTTCCTGAAACTTCTTGCGATTCTCACTAGGAAAAAATAGCTGCAATAAGAAATGCTGGGTCTCTTTTTTTCCTCACCCACTTTTCTGGCAAGAAAGACGTTTTCCACGTCTCTATCAGTCTTTGTTGTTCCTTATTGTTGGGCGGTGGGGGGTGGGGTTAAAAATTTGCATCACCAACTTAGCTTGCAGAGTAATTTTGGCAAGTTCGTTTCGGTGTTTTCAAATGGGCAAATTATGCAAAGAAATGGTTTCTGTTATTTTTTTTTGTTTCACTGGTTTGATTTTCCATGAATTCTTTTTTCGGTGTACATTGTGAAAAGTGTGGCCTCAGTAGGACAAAGTTGTTTCATCTTTGTCGTGAGTTCGATTTGGAGTCACTTCGGCTTCGGAATTGTGGGTTTGGTTGTTTATGTTTATAGCTATTTACTGAGAATGATATTGGAGAAAGAAAGGTGCCTGCAATAAAACTGGCATGGCCATGAACCCCGCAAACATTATTTCTGAGGATGAAATATAAAACGCCAGTGACCGGGATAGTAAAAAAAATCGATTATAAATTACCTGGAAATGAACTTGTCCTTGGTGAACCCAACCGATGACGATGTCCGACCCGTAGATGGTGCCATCCTTGGAGAAGCCCAGCCCGATGTAGCCGTGCGTGCGGGCTTGGACCTCGAACGTTATGTCGGACCCCGATATGCTCCACAGCAATCGGTAGTCATCGTCCAGATACACCGAATGATTCCAATGGGCCCCGAGGGCACTGCTGACCAAGCACACACTCACCACCACTAGGGAATAAATCACACTCGCCATTTGGCTGCCAACGAGTCGACCTCAACCCAAACACTCTGGCGCTTCACTGCTGGGTTGTACAATTTTCAACCCAAAAAAAATGAAAATGGAACACCTTTGCCTCAAGGTTTCTTCTTTTAATTTCAGCGGGAATACTTCACCACTCGTGGAACAACAACATCAACTTCTACGAGGGCACTCTTCAAGTCTTGCGCTGATGGTGCAGCTTCATCTTGTTTTACTTTTCATTCCTATTCACTCGAATGGCAAAACAGAACACCTCCGCCTTTCAACTTTCCACAGATCCTGTTTAGGCGTTTCAAGTTGTTGTCGTCGTCCTTGGAAGGACTACACTTTAAACCGAATCGCAATTGTCTTTGGCTCGGAGCCTGGGCTGGCTCTCGTCACGTGTATCCTCCAACGTGATGTAGGAAAACAATTTTCCACTAGCTCAGCACCTGGCGCGCACGTGTTACACTTCTACCGTTCTCAGCTCCGCAGTTGGTGGATGAACCTGTAAAAAAGAAGAGCAGAAGGAAAAGGAAAAACATTTAATAACTTTGTGCTTGGCATTTTCTATTCGTGGAGCTGTGCTGCTACTTGTTCTGTGGGCTGTGATGACTCGTTTCTGAAGCAGACGGCCGACTCGCAATACTGCGAAGGTTTTTTCGCGCTTGGCCAAATCCAGATCTTGTCAAGGTCAGGTTTGTGAAGCGGAGGAAAGTGAAATGGATTAAAGGGGGGGGGAGGGATTTTTTGAAATATGATAGCGAAAAAGTTGATAAATTATTGTGTGTGATAATTTATTAGCTAGAGAAAGGTCTGAAGAGCGTAGGTTGATAGTTCCACTAGAGTATGGCAGTATGCAAATTGAATAGAAGCTAGAATGAGCGAAGGGTCATTAATGCAACAGTACTAGTCAAACGCACACTTCTTTGCCTAGGTCATACATAAGTAGATGAGAAGACTTGAAGTATTTCTTAAAATCTACTGTCAAAAAAAGAGCGCGTTTGCCTTGCTCATATTCTTTATATTTTTAATTTTATATAAAATTATATATAGTAATTTTGAGTAAAACTTCCAAAAAAGTGATAAAATCAAAATATGTCATGAAGTATCAGTGTTACCAGTATCCCAGATTTATCTGGATTTTTCAGATTTTCAGTCGTCTTGCCAGATATACAGACAGACCACGTATATTTCCTAATTTTTAAAACCTGTTCTAGATTTTCCCAGACTTTTCAAACAAATTGCTTCAAAAATATCACTGCAATTGATTTACCCTCTAATCAAAAAAATAAATAAGTTAAACTTGCTACTTTGATTAATAAAGACCATCAACGTTGGAAATTATTGCAACATCGTACATGGAATTGTTTCAACATGGTTGCATGTTAATGGGTTGCAGAATCATGAAAATTGAGACATTTCCTAAAGATCATTGCCGGAAAAACACATTCCATCAAACATTTTTTTTTTTAATATTGGGCCTGGATTCTTTTTATTTGGGATTTTTGTTTTGATTTCGGCTATAAAATATATATATTAATATATATTTTTGGAGTTTGTTCTTGAGATTTTTTGGGATTTAATTTAAGAATTTAAAAGGCATTTGATAATTTCTAGCACTTTTTGAAGTACCTGTGGATATTTAGTTAGCAGTCTGAATTACTTTGGAATTCTGAGTTGCCCTAGAATTTCATATTTTTAAGGTAATTCTGAAAATAGTTGACAGTATAGTTTGAAGTGAATTCTTTTTGAAATCATAGAAGGATTTCAAGTTTATTCTGAGTAGAGTTCCATAACTCTGATGACAATTGCTTGGCGATTTTGTGAAGAAATGAAATATAATTCGGAAGAGACATACAAAATGCTTAAGATGATACTTAAGGAAAGTTGATGACAAATTCCATGAATTGCTGGGAGCATTTGAAAGGAAATCTAGGATGAATACAATGAGTATGCTGATGAGAATCGTGATAATAATTTCAATGGAATTCTGTCTGGAGATTTATTTTAGTCGAATTTTAAGAAACAGTGTGACGGTCATTCTAAAAGGTGAATTTTTTTACAATAATCTAAAGGAATTTCATGGATTAAATGGAGACAAAATAGCGCGCCAAACTGCTGAACAAGTTTGGAGATTATCAAGAATATTTTAGGGGAATCCAGAAAAGAATTATGTTGGAATTCTAGGATGATTCAAAGGGAACTCTGAAAAAAATGACGAAGATATCCTATAAAAAGTTCCAAGTAAATTCAGACTAGCAAAAATAAATAGGATCTGAGACCCAGAAAAATATATCAATTCCAGAATAAAGAATCATTTCAAGACCCTGAGACTTCAAAAATGACGCTTTCAGGCTTTCATTTGAGTTATATAATAAAATTATTCGTAATGTTCATGCGAATAGAGGATTTAGGTTGAGGGACAGGTTGAGGATCAAGGGCCGATTCTTCAACTTTAGCATAATCAACGTGCACAGCCCTCACTCCGGAAGCACTGATGATGACAAAGACGCATTTTACGCGCAGCTCGACCGCGAGTACGATCGCTGCCCAAGCCACGACGTCAAGATCATCATAGGAGACCTAAACGCTCAGGTAGGCCAGGAGGAGGAATTCAGACCGACGATTGGAAAGTTCAGCGCCCACCAGCTGACGAACGGGAACGGCCTACGACTCATCGATTTCGCCGCCTCCAAGAACATGGCCATACTACGTTGCACCTTTTTCCAACACAGCCTCCCTTATCATCACACCTGGAGATCACCACAGCAGACGGAATCGCAAATCGACCACGTTCTGATTGATGGACGGCACTTCTCCGACATTATCGACGTCAGGACCTATCGTGGCGCTAACATCGACTCTGACCACTACCTGGTGATGGTCAAACTGCACCCAAAACTTTCCATCAACAACAATGTACGGTACCGACGCCCGCCACGGTACAACCTAGAGCGACTGAAGCAACCGGATGTCGCCTTAGCATACGCGCAGAATCTCGAGGTAGCGTTGCCAGAGGAGGGTGAGCTCGATGTGCCCCCTCTAGAGGACTGCTGGAGTACAGTAAAAGCAGCCATCACCGACGCAGCCGAGAGCACCATCGGGTACGTGGAAAGAAGTCGACGGAATGAATGGTTCGACGAGGAGTGCAGAGCGATTTTGGAGGAGAAGAACGCAGCGCGGGCGGTAATGCTGCAGCATGGAACCCGACAGAACGTGGAACGGTATAAACAGAAGCGGAAACAGCAGACCCGCATCTTTCGGGAAGAAGCGGAGTGCGAGGAAATGGAACTGCTGTGCCGTTCCCGCAACGGCTTCGTGCCGCGAGCCGAAATGTGCAAGGATATGGACGGGAGCCTCTTGACGGACGGACGTGAGGTGATTGAAAGGTGGAAGCAGCACTTCGAGGCGCACCTGAATGGCGAGGAGAACGTAGGCACGGGAGACCAGCGCAATAGAGGAAACGACTACGTCAGTGCAACAGAGGACAGAACTGACCCAACTTCCACGCTGAGGGAAGTTAAGGACTCCAGTCAGCAGCTCAAAAACAACAAAGCAGCTGGTAAGGATGGTATCGCAGCCGAACTCATCAAGATGGGCCCAGAAAAGTTGGCCACCTGCCTGCACCGGATGATAGTCAGGATCTGGGAAACAGAACAGCTACCGGAGGAGTGGAAGGAGGGGGTAATCTGCCCCATTCACAAGAAAGGCGACCATTTGAGTGATCACCATTTTGAATGCCGCCTACAAAGTGCTATCCCAGATCATCTTCCGTCGTCTATCACCTAAAATGACCAAGTTCGTGGGAAGTTATCAAGCCGGCTTCATTGACGGCCGATCGACAACGGACCAGATCTTCACCGTACGGCAAATCCTCCAGAAACGCATTATTTGTTCATCGACTTTAAGGCGGCATACGACAGAATCGACCGCACAGAGTTATGGAAAATCATGGACGAGAACGGCTTTCCTGGGAAGCTGATCAGACTGATCAAAGCAACGATGAACGGTGTGCAAAACTGCGTAAGGGTTTCGGGTGAACTATCCAGTCCATTCGAATCTCGCCGGGGACTGCGACAAGGTGACGGACTCTCATGCCTACTCTTCAACATTGCTCTAGAAGGTGTAATGCGACGAGCCGGGCTCAACAGCCGGGGTACGATTTTCACGAAATCCGGTCAATTTGTGTGCTTTGCGGACAACATGAACATTATCGCAAGAACATTTGGAACGGTGGCAGAACTATACACCCGCCTGAAATACGAAGCAGCAAAGGTCGGACTGGTGGTGAGTGCGTCAAAAACAAAGTACATGCTAGTAGGCGGAACCGAACATGACAGGATTCGTCTAGGAAGTAATGTCACGATAGACGGGGATACTTTCAAGGTAGTGGAGGAATTCGTTTACCTTGGATTCTTAATGACGGCTGACAACAATGTGAGTCGTGAAATACGAAGGCGCATCATTAGTGGAAGTCGTGCCTACTACGGGCTCCAGAAGAAACTACGGTCAAAAAAGATTCACCCCCGCACCAAATGTACCATGTACAGAACGCTAATAAGACCGGTGGTCCTCTATGGACACGAGACATGGACTATGCTCGAGGAGGACTTGCAAGCACTCGGAGTTTTCGAGCGACGTGTGCTAAGGACGATCTTCGGTGGTATGCAGGAGAACGGTGAGTGGCGGCAAAGAATGAACCACGAGCTCGCTGCACTCTACGGCGAACCCAGCATCCAGAAGGTGGCCAAAGCCGGAAGGATGCGGTGGGCAGGGCATGTTGCAAGAATGCTGGACAACAACCCTGCAAAGTTGGTGTTCGCTACTGATCCGGTTGGCACAAGAAGGCGAGGAGCGCAGAGAGCACGATGGGCGGACCAGGTAGAGCGCGATCTAGCGAGCATTGGGCATGACCGAGGATGGAGAGCGGCAGCCGCAAACCGAGTATTGTGGCGTACTATTGTTGATTATGTCTTATCTTAAATGTGATGTTGTTCAAATAAATGTATGTATGTACTTTTTGAAAAAGTTACAGTTTAAAAATATTTTCTTTACACTTAAAATTGAAAACATTTTTTGAAATTCTATATAATGGATATTTACACTTTTTGGGCACATTGTGCCAATACTTTTCCTAACTTTTTGATGCTTACAAGTTATTTGCTTTATATAATTTATTTAAATATTTTATTCATAAACATTCTGGTACTTTCAATAAATTCCAGATGATTTTTACGGAAGATTGGTACTTCAATTTGATTTCAATAGCATTATGTTAAAAACAGGACCTTTTAGAGCATTCCAGATTTTTCCAGATTTTATATAAAGAGCTTTGAGTGGGTTGGTTTATTTCCTTTGAATTCCGTTATAATTGCCTATCTTTTGACAGATACGCGTATTTCGTCTAGTACTTGCAGACTTCATCTGTGCCAAGTACTCAACACCAACACCCAACACCACCACCACAGTACTTGGCACTGATGAAGTCTGCAAGTAGTAGACGAA